AGGACCAATGAGACCCACCAAATGGTTATGCTAATAAGGCATATGGAGCCGCACCAACCAGGTCAGAGCATGAGAACTATATAAGCAAGCCTCTCCTTCCCCTCTGGGTCCTGCCCAACTCATTTGTTTCACAAAGAGCTGAAGAATAAAGCTTTCTGCAGAAGAATCCTGCTGTTGTTGCGTGCTGTTCTTGCCGGCGAGGACGGGGCACGCGACAGTGAGGGGTGTTGATTATGGGGAAGACTGTGCATGTGTTGGGGAGGGAGTACCTGGAAACTTTCTGTACTTTCTGCTCAACTTTGCTGTGAATCTAAAAGTGCTCTTAAAAAATAACATCTATTTTTTAAAAAAGCAATGGTTTTACAAAAAAAAATGTAAAAATAAACAGAATGATAACAGAGGTTTTAAGTTTAAAGAATGGATATGTCCCAAAACTAATTGATATGTTTTCAGTTTAAAAGGTTTCAGTGGCATCAGAGATGAAAACAGAACTATACCAAAGTAGATCATTGTAGAATTTAGAACTCGGGAACCCAGAAAATTTTCTACAGATTTCCAGAAAAAGTGTTAGAAAATACGTGGTTTCAAAATGCTTTTGGATTTCTGAACAGCAGATAGGAGGTAATAATGATGCAGGCATTGAAAATTACAAAAGAAAATTATTTCCTGCCTGAAATTCAGTTTATTAGGATGTGTTCTCCCAAGAAAGAGGAAGACCTGGGATGCAAAGAAAAGGAAAGTCACAAAGAAGAGAGATGAAGGCATCCAAAAGACAAACAACAAATATTAGTGAGGTTGTGGAGAAAGGGGGACCCTCCTACACTGCTGGTGGGAATAGAAATTAGTTCAACCATTGTGGAAAGCAGTAGGTTCCTCAAAAAGCTCAAAATAGAAATACCATTTGACCCAGGAATTCCACCCCTAGGGATTTACCCTAAGAATGCAGCAGCCCAGTTTGAAAAAGACAGATGCACCCCTACATTTATCGCAGCACTATTTACAATAGCCGAGAAATGGAAGCAACCTAAGTGTCTATCAGTAGATGAATGCATAAAGAAGATGTGGTACATATACACAATGGAATATTATTCAGACATAAGAAGAAAACAAATTCTACCATTTGCAACAACATGGATGGAGCTAGAGGGTATTATTCTCAGTGAAATAAGCCAGGCAGAGAAAGACAAGTACCAAATGATTTCACTCATCTGTGGAGTATAAGAACAAAGGAAAAACTGAAGGAGCAAAACAGCAGCAGAATCACAGAACCCAAGAATGGACTAACAGTTACCAAATGGAAAGGGACTGGGGAGGATGGGTGGGAAGGGAGGGATAAGGGGTAAAAAAAGGGGGTACTACAATTAGCACACATAATGTAGGGGGTGGGCGGTAAGGGGAGGGCTGGACAACACAGAGAAGACAAGTAGTGATTCTACAGCATCTTACTACGCTGATGGACAGTGACTGTAATGGGGTATGTGGTGGGGGGACTTGATGATGGGGGGAGTCTAGTAAACATAATGTTCCTCATACAATTGTAGATTAATGATACCAATACAAAAAAATAAAAAAATAAAAGAAGAGAGGTGAAGGGAAGTCTCAGATGGGCAAGTACAGACCTCAGGACGACAGCTGTGCAGGACGTGTCAGAGGACAGCTGGCCATGTCGGAGCAAGTCAGCAGGCTCCAGGGCGGACTTTCTTGGGAAGATGAAATTGTGAGAATAAGTTATTGAAAACTCTTAAGAGGAAATGCATGTAAATGACCAAGAATGTAGGGTTAAATCATTGAGAGGAGTAGAGAAAATTAAGCAAATGCAAAAACAAGACAATATTAACTCCAGAGGAAAATAATAAATCTTGGTTAACTATGTGTTTCAGCTTTGAATATATTAGTATAATTATGTAAATGGAAACAAGGCTTTTTAACTGACCCAAATTATGATCCAAGTATACCGGTAGGATGGGGGAAAAAAGGAGGGATACAAGTAGAAAGAGGACAGCAAGTAGAAAAGAGAATTAAATACTCATCATAGAGCAGAGATAATGCCTATATCTGAAAATCAAGAAATTTAGAAACACGGAGGAGGCAAATATCAAAGGAAACTGGTTCCTCTGGAGCTTAAGAGGCTGCCTGTCAGCAGCTGGAGGCTCTGAGATTTTACCCTACTTGCATACTAACGCGTTGGCTTGCCAGTTTCACAGATGCTGGCAGAAGACACACGGCTCTTGGATCAGAGGCAATGAACAGTTTATTCTGCACAGCAGGGGCATCAGAGTATTTATTTTGTTTTGTGAACCCAATTCTCACAGCGTGGTGCCAAGCATGCCAGACAGCACGTGTACACACAGTGGGCTGCACCACAGGAAGCAAACCCTGAGCTTAGGGAGCCGGAATTGTTAATGATGGACAGTAGGTAAGACTTATTCTGCTTCCCATGAAGATGGTGTCTCTTCCAAGGCTCTTTGCCATGCAAAATCCTTAAAAAGATAGTAGGGAACAAAGCACAGCTGTGTGCGTAAGTGCAAGAGACCCATGGAGAGCTGATTCTCAAAACTGCCGTCTTTCATCACCTCCTTGAATTATTTTTTAGGATTGCATGAAAATACAATTTTCACAAAAATTAAAATCTAGTAGATTAGCTATTTCAAACTATTAAAACAAGTCGCCTACCCGCCTGCCCCTAACTCCTACTGACTGGGCATCTTTTCTTTCCAACGGGACCCAAGAGAGAAGAAAATTGGAAAAGGAGGTTTTCCGAAACTTCGAACGGGAAGCACTGGTCGGGAAGAGGGTGGTCTCGAGCGCAGCGACCGGCGTGGCGCTAAGGCCGCGCGGGCCCCGCCCTGCCCTGCCCTGGCCTGCGGCGCCCCCGAGTGCCGCGTTCGGCACCCGTAAGGCCGGCCCGAGCGTCCCACCGCTGGGCTGCGGGAGAGTCGCCGGCCACGTGTGTCAAGGGCCCGGAGCAGCCCTTTTGTAGTTTGTGTCGATTACAAGCATTCGGGGTGTGAATAAGCCCCGCTGAAAATCAAGAAATGGGAACCCGCGCCGGCGGAGCTGGCCAGCGGGCCTCGTCCCGGGGCCGAGGGCCAGGGCAGGTCTCCCGAGGCGAGACCGGACGGCGCTGTCCCGCTGTCCCGCGGGTCCTGCGCCAGGTGCGCCCGCCCTCGGAGGGCTGGGGGGCCTCTGCCCGGCCCGGCCTGGCGCCCGCCCGCACCGCTCCGACCCTTGCCGCGCCCTCGCCAGGCCTGCGGCCCGCAGCTTTGCGGGGAGGCGGTGTGCGCCCCGCCTCCAGGGCCCCGGCCCCCGCCCCCGGCCGCGGCCGCGGAGGAGGGCCGGGCTGCGCGGTCCCGGTTATCAGCCATCGCCCGTTACATAAGGCTGCTTCCCTATCTCCGCGAGCATCGCCGCGGCCGCGGGCCCGCGCCTTCTCCCCCGCGCGGAGGCGCGCCTGCCCACCGCTCCCCTCCTCGGTTCTGCCGGTCCTGGGACGGGGGGCACTCTGACTCATCTGCGCTTAGGGCTCCGGGACTTAGGCACCCCACGGTGTTCCCCCTCTCCTTTCCCCCGCGCGAAGATCCCGCGGAAGATGCCATTGGTCCTGTTCTCAGATGAAGAAACTAAGGCCCACAGGGGGGCCACACAGCCAGAAGGCAGCGCTCCAGGCACTAAGGGACCACGAGGGACGGGCTGGCTTCCAGGCATCAGGGATGAGCTAGGAAACAGGGTTTGGACGGAAAAGAAGGTGGGAATCATGGTACCCGTGGGAAGAGAGCGCAGACAAGACTGGAAAGCTTCCCAGCGGAGGGACAGTTGCAGCAGCCCTTGGAAGAGCCCCACTGGGAGTGCACAGAGAGTGCACAGAGAGTGCCCGGGTGGGCAGAGAGGCGGCTGGGCAGGGGAGGCGCTGGCTTAGAGGAGGAAGTGGGTGAGGGAGAGAGCCTGGCATCTGCCCTTGATGGTTGCAGGAGGTTCTGGAGGACTTCTAGAGAAATGGGGGGAAAGCAGGGACATGGCTGCATCCAGTGTCCCTGCAGGGAGTGGGGGCAGGCCCAGGAGCTGTCCTCCACGGCCTTCCTTCTGCAGAAGGGAAACGAGTTCCCCCGAGGGCCTAAGTTGGTCCTACAGATGCTGGTGGTCACCCCAGGTCACAGTAGCCCTGGAAACAGTTGTACTCTCGCCCCTGGGCTGAGGCTGGGCCTGTTAAGGGATTCCCAGTGGGAGGGGCTCGTGCTGCAGGCCTATGGAGGGTGCCCAGCGTCTCAGCTGCCCATGCTCAGGGTTATCATCACAGCAACTTTCAAAAGGAAAAGTCCCAGGAAGACCCCTGAATCTGGCTGGATCTTTCAGCAGAAACCAGGAGATCTGAACTTTCGTAATCCTTCCCACAGTGGGGCCAACAGCGTATCAGCTGGGCCAAAAGAAGTGAACTTCACTCTTCAGCATTTATCTTGTTTTAATTTTGTATCCAAAGCCAGTATTACTTCAGTAATGTAAGACACCAGTTCACTGGCAAAATGAAACCCCCAAATTGCCATATCTGGTAGACTGTGACCATAGCCCTGTCTGCCCAGCACTTCTGATGGACCCAAAGGGGTCTGAGGACAGGAGCTGGGCAGACATTCAGGGCAGTCACCAAGCAAGACCGCTGGAATTCCAGCTGGCACAGCTGATGCCAGGCCGCCCTCAGAGCCCTGTCGCCTATGGCTGGAGTCAGCCCATCCAGATCTTGGAAACTGCCTCAGCCCCCTCTCAATGATAAGTCCACACAAAAAAAAATCAAACTCTTTCCTTTATGAGATGCTGGATTTTCCACAAAGTAAAATCAAGATGAGTAAAGATGTGGTTTCTAGATAGTGCCCGACAAAGCGGAGACCAGGGTATAAGGCGTCATCACTTGGGCCTATAAAAACTGCTGCAAGAGGCCAAGGCCACAAGCCATTCAGCTTAGGCCAGCTTGTGTGGCTGCTCCTCGCACCTCCTGTGTTACTCTAGGCTCCATGGCACTCTGGTTGACCGTGGTCATTGCCCTCACCTGCCTTGGTGGCCTCGCCACCCCGGGCCCCGTGCCTCACTCCAGAGCCCTCAAGGAGCTCATTGAGGAGCTAGTCAACATCACCAGGAACCAGGTAAGTGCGTGTGGTCAGGGTCCCGCTGGGGAGGGTGACTCTCAGGGAGGGTGCTGGTCATGGTCTTGGCCAGGAAGGCTGAGCCTGGTCCTAAGGTGACTGTGGGTCACAAAGAAGTCACAGGGACCAGGAGATGGGCCTGATCACCAGGGAGAGGAGCCAGGCTGTTGGGGGTGGGGGGGTGGATGAACCCAGAGAGGGACTCGGCAGAGACCCCAGGGACTAGCTGTTCCCTGGCCTGGCCCTCCCTGCCGTGGCCAGATCCTACTCAGTCATTCCTGAGCAAAGGAAAGCAGAAAAGGCCAGCACCCTCGCAGATTATTTGGCATTTGCCAACTTGATTTGAATGCAATCATGGGGCCCTTATTACAGCACCTTAGGCCCCATTCATTAGTAGTGTCAGCTCCCCTCCCTGGTGGTGACAGCTCACACTCTCTGAGCACTAAGTGTGTGCCAGGCCTGGTGCTGGGTTCTTTATATCTCATGTCATCACTGCCAACCACCTCAAGAAGCAGGTGCAATGACCTCATTTTACCAAGCTTCAGTGAGGTCAGCAGACAAAAGCCTATTCAAACCCAGCTGAGCCGACATCAGAGCGTCTGCACTCTGAACTGCAGTGTCCCCCCATTCAGAAGGCAGGGTTCTTTATGCCCTAACCCCCCACTGCCTCCCGTCTGATTGACCTGGTCACCCTTCCCTCACCTGCCCTGTCATCACCCTTCCCTGCTGGCCCCCTACTGACCAACCTGGTGCCTTCTGTCCCGCCCTGGCTACGGCAAGCTTTGCACCAGCCTTGTCCCTTTCTGATTGTGTCAGTCAGTGTTTCTCTCTTAGCTCCAAGACACTGTACAGTGGGTCTGCCCTGCTGTGCAGAAAAGGAATGGAACTCAGGAACATTGAGGGGTCCCAGGCCCACTCTGTGCAACACTGGGGATGCTTGAGGGTCCTGATCCCTGTGGGGACCTGGCCTGGGCTGGCCGGGCAGGCCTTGGACCCTGCCAGCATGTGGCTCACTGTCTCTTTGCCCCCTAGGCATCCCTCTGCAACGGCAGCATGGTGTGGGAAGTTAACATGACAGCCGGCAAGGTAAGGATGGTGGGAGGGAGGTGGCCGAGGCTACAGGCTTCAGGCCTGTCTTCTCTGAGCCTTGCACACATGGCTGGGGGGCCCCACGAAAGCTTCAGGAGCTACTCTCTGCCCTTCATCAGTTGGGCCTTTCCACCACCCAGAGGGATCTCTGCCAGACCTCCAGCCCCCTCTTCCTGTAAACTCACTGAAGGTGCAACCTGAGCCAGATGGTTGGGGGCCCCCAGCAGGGCCTAACCCCAGTGTTCTCCTCCTAGCAGTACTGTGCAGCCCTGGACTCCCTGACCAACGTCTCTGACTGCAGTGCCATCGGAAAGACCCAGAGGCTATTGAAATTACTCTGCCCTGTCAAGGCCTCACCTGTGGTAAGGCCCCCTGCCCCACACCCCCAACCCTGCACCCACTCCTGCCAGCCCTAGACTCACCCTGGGAGCTTCAGGGGGACCTAGCTTAGCATCTGAGGTGTGCGTACACCTAAGGGTGGGTCCAATGTGGCAGTAGGGAGGGACATGGCCCTTGGGATGGGAAATAACAATAACCACCTCAGCGGGGCTTATGTGGGGATTGAACCACCCAGTCCCTGGAAAGCCTCTGGATGCTGGTTGTCTTGGCTGTGGGTCCCACTAAAACTGTGGTCTCTTTGTCCTGCACAAGGATTCCAGTGAGCCTATCCGAGACACCAAAGTTGAAGTGACCCAGCTGATAAAAGACCTGCTCAAGCATTTAAGGGAAATCTTTCGCCATGGAGAACTCAACTGAAGCACATTGCTGTTTGCAGAGGCAGAACCTGACCACTTAAGTTGCAGGTTCACTTCTCTTTCAGATGTCAGGAATTTCTTGGGGAGATAGGAAGGAGGGCGAGGGAGGGGGGGATTTTTTCTTAGCTTAGCCCTTAGTCATCTGCCTTCAGCCTAGCTGCCCCCAGCTGCCACTTGGTGCCTGGGGCTCGGCCTGGTGGATGCCTTCCATCTGGGTCTCTGAGCTCGGTGGGCGAGGCTAAAAACATTGCCCCACATGACCTCCGCCTCCTTAGAGCAAACTGTAGCGTCACAGTGGGTGCCAACCTTGCCAGACACATGGTGGGAGAGAGACCTGCTTTACACAGGGGCAACTGAGGCAGAAGGCAGCTCAGGCATATTTCTTCTTGGCCTTATTTATTATTGTGTGTTATTTAAACAAGTGTGTTCGTCTGTACCGGGGAAAGGGAGGGATTGTCACTGCCAGGACTTGGAGCCGAGGGCCCAGAGACTTGGAGCTCCAGCACTAAAGCCGTGGGCATTAGGAATCTTCTGTGAATAAGTGCTGTGTGCAAAAATCTGCTACCTCACTGGGGGTCCTGGGGCTGAGGCGGGGGCCGGGAGAGAGGGCTGGAGCGCCGCTCTTACCTGCCAGCCAGCAGTAGGCCCTCCACCAAGGAGTAATTTATTGATCTTCCTTGTATTTAAAGTATTAAAATATGTTATCAAAGAGTTAATAATATATACAAGAGCAGCCTAGAACACTGTGTATGGTGTGTGTGGATTGCGGGGAAGGGTCATTGAATAAGTTGTTTCATTGACTTTCCCAGCCTGGAAGCCAGAAATAAAGATGGTGACAAGAGACCTGATGGTGTCATCCTTGTATTTTGGCCTTTGGGGACACTGATCTGTTTTTAAGACTCTGAGTAGCTCTTTGGGCAGCAGGCCAGTTGGAGGAGGGGGCCTAGGATGAAGTGGAGGGGAGTGGGGGACAAGACCTGGGCTGAAAGAAAGAAAGCCCCCCCACCCCCACCTACCAACCCCCAGGGAGGGCTGGGGAAGCTTGGGCCAGGATGGCAGAGTTCAAGGGGGACATCTGGAGCAGGCAGAGAGCCCGGAAGTCATCTCATGATCTTGATGAGTGGCCAGCCTGTGCCTAATGCCACCGACACCCCTCTGGTTTCTCCCTCACAAGCTCTCTGAGGCTCAGAGAGGAGAAGGTGACTTGCCCGAAGTCATACAGCTGGTAAGAAGCAAAGCCAGCATTTGAACCCAAAACTCTCTCCAACTCCAAATCCCACACATCTAACCACCCCGCCTCTCCCTGTCCAATTGTCATCTGGCCTGAATGCACTACTTTTATAATATTGTCATCCACCTGTTCAGGCACCTCTCTTGATGGGGAGCTCGCTATGTACTTTCCAGGGACAGCCCATCCCACTTCTGGGCCCCTCTCATTATTAGGAAGTGCACACTCATCACTTCTGTGAGCGAACGTGCACCAACGGTGGGCAGACAGCCAAGGCGGTGGAGCCCTCGCCCAGCTGTTTCTCCGGGAAAGCCCTTTTGCTCATCCTGGGGCCCAGCCAGTGGCTGGGTGGCAGAAGCAGCAGGCTGCGGCCCACCTCAGCTAACGGGCTAACGGCCGTGCCTGTCTCCAGGTTTATACCAGGAATCTCTGGGAGGGGCCCTGAGCAGAGGGCTGCCGTAGAGGACAGGAAGTATTTGCAGTGGCGGCGGGTCATCAGACCAGTCTCACATGCTGAGTGGCAGCAGATGCCCTCCCTGCATTGCCCAGAGCTCCGTGGTACCATCTACAGTGATGCTCGGAAGTCGGAGGAGGCAGCCACCCAGGGGCAGTGGGAGCCCAGGCTGCACGTGATTCAGGCAACAGAGGCCATGGCAGGACCTGTCCAGGGGGTGGATGACCCAGTGGACTGCTCCAGGGCCACTCCAAATAGAGTGGACCTCTTGCCTGCACCCAGAGACAAGAAGCCACAAGGCAGCGCAGAGCTGGGGGTGCCCAGCTGGAGAGACAAGACCTGGGGAGGGGCACGGAAGCTGAGGGCCCCACAGGCTGCCCCAGGCAGGGGCTGGGTTGTCTAGGTGGTCTCCAGAGGACTCAGAACCCGTGAAGCCCCACCGCACTCACTGAGGACACCCTGGGGCCTGCACACACCGGCCTTCTGGGCCAACAGTGACCTCACAGCACATGCACCTGAGGCTTAGCACCAGAACGAAGTCTGTAAACAATGGAGTCCGAGAGGGGTGCTCTACATTAGGAGGACAAGGAGGCCTGCAGGGGGGCGGTTAGAGGCGAGATCTCCAGTGCCCTGCGCCATCCAAAGATTTGAGGAATTTAAAACCAGCAGGATATTTATGAAGACTGATTCTTTTTAAAGTAAAAACTTAGAAATCCAGTCTCTGGTAGCATCACCTTTGATCCATGTCCTGTCTGCCCAACCAGAGAGTTGGCCTGTCTATTCAGAGGAAGGTACAAAATTCCAGTGAAAATCCACATGCATCTCCCAAGAAGAGAGACCGGGACTGAGGCTGGCACGGGCAGGGCCCTCATGTTAGCCAGGGCTACATGCCAAGCCATGCAGACTGAGGGCCCTGCTGTGGAGGCACAGTGCCAATAGGGCCACCTAGGCCCCACCACTAGGGGTCTGCAGTGTGCCACATCCTCGCCACCCACTGCAGCCTGCATGCCAGCACCTCCAGGACTGTCTGCCGGCCAGGGGACTGGTGGTCACGAGCTCACAGAGGCACAGAACCAAGCCACGGCTGGTAGCAGCAGGGAGGTGGGCCCAGCCAGGAAGAAGAGAGGAGAGAAAGAGCCGTACGTGTCAGTGGCTGGGACGCTGCTGCCTGGGGACTGACCCCAGGGTGTTTTCTCTAACCGGGTCTCCCTTCTTTCCTGCCCGAGGCAAACCCTGAGCAAGGAAGGCCCAGAGAAGAAGGGGGGCCAGGGAGACAGAGAGTGCTTGGTGAGTGGGAGGTGGGTACTGGTCATGGGGCCCAGGGCGGGGAGCCCCTTGGCACCCCAGGAACCCCAGGCCCTGGGGGTTTCACTGGAAGAGGGGCTGGGGCTCAAGTGAGAAGTGAGACATGTACTCAAATTTCCGGTAAACTTGGCACGAAACTCCTCTGTTTGCTGCTCAGATGAGGTGTCAGAAAACACTCCAAGTCACCTCAGGGGTTTCTGTGCGGCCAGCCTCGGAGCCGCCCAGGACCCTGGAGGACAAAGACCTGCACCTTGTTTCCTGTGTCAGGAGGCTTTGAGGCCGGGGTTTGAAGTCCATCAGTTCATCACTTCCCGTTATGATCAACGGGGAAGTGCCTTCTGCTCATTACCTTAATTCAGTTGGTCAGTTTGAGCAAACAAAAGCTGCTCCCCCCTGAGCTGGCGCCCTTCTAGGAAGGCCCGCGTGAGTCCAGGCTAACCGTGTCCCATCAAGGCGGCCTGGCCTGGGACACACTGGCCATTACCTGGCCTCTCTTAAAGGGCCAGGCTGGTGTCAGAACCGGTGGCTGTCCCCACGGTCACCACTCCCGCACAGGCTGCCCACTCCTACTCTGAAAAACACAAGTCATAAGGCATCATTATCTTCACTCATTTTGTGGCTCCACCCAAAAGCAACAGAGCAAAGGGTTTGCAGAGAAATTTCCCAGATCAACTGCTTTCTCAGCAGCAAGGAGGGCCCCATGACGAAGCCATTTGAAATCCCAGAAGCGATTTTCTACTTACAATCTCACTTTCTGTTGCGCTCTCTGCCCCCCCCTTCATGAGGCCTTCTCTCATGGAAAGTGATTCTCTCAAAGCGCCCTTCAGAAACGCCCCCAGCTCATGCCCTGCCTGAGATGCTGCTGTGTGGTCACCAGTGACGCAGACGCCAGAATTAAATATAGTAACGCTTGTCAGCTCTGCTCTCTGCCTCCATGGACAAGGGTGTGGCCCCACGACTCTTGCTGAAACCCACGGTGGCAGGAGAGCCGGCTGGCTGCGGCGCGCTGGGGACTGCGGACCCACATCCCATGGCCCGGCGACAGCCGGGGGGCCCAAGCCCAGGCGAGCCCGGGGCCCCAGGCCCAAAGAAGCTGCGGTGACATCACACACAAGTGAAATGTCTCATTCATTGTCTCTTCTTTCTTCTATAAATCTTTCTCACATTTTTAAAATACTGAGTATATATCCATTTCCCACTGTGGGATAAAGACAAATTAAAAGAAAAGAACATGGAATTGATGTGTGGTCCAGGAGGGAGCTGGAAAGGGGCCAGCAGAGCGGGGGCAGGGGAACCAGAAGCAGGTGAGACGGGAAGGGGTGGGCCACCGGTCCAGCTCTGAGGCTGACGTGACGCCCATCCCTGAGGACAGATGAAGAGGCCCTGCAGACTCCCCAGCCAGCTCCCCTTCTCAGCAGAAGGGCCTTCTACCTGCTTCTCAAAGAAGAGACAGCCAGCAGCCTACAGAGATTCTTCACCGTCAGCTCAGACAGGCTGGGCACCCCCCTTGGCACCCTGACAGGGCTCTGCCTTGCGTCTGTGCCCATGATCCTATTCCCAGCTGCCTTCTCCAGGGCTTTGGAGCAAGAACTTAAGGGCTAACGCAGCCCTGGCTGCAGGTCCCAGCTGTGCCTCTGGCTTCCTCTGTCGCTACTTAGGCCAAGTCTCAGCTTTCCCACTGTGAAATAGAGCTCCGCCCCTCAAGGACCTGTTGCGGCCTTTACGAGGTGTCAGGCACTATTCTAGGTTCTGGACATCCACCGTGGACAAAACAGTTACTTCTAGTGGGGTAAGGAGGGGCAGAATCCACAAACCAGAGAACACAAAGTGCCGGGTGGTGGGGAGTGTCACGGAAAGCGAGGAAGCAGTCCACGCTGCGGGACAGGTGGGGGCTGCCATGCTGTGAGGGGGGTCAGAGACATCCTCCCTGGCGAGGTAACAGAGATCTGGATGAAGAGGAGGGGGGAGAAAGCCACTCCCCTAACAGAGGAACACACCCAGAGGGGACAGCAGG